CAGTGCGCATGCAAGTGGACAACAAAGAAGTGGATTACGCAACATGTTTTAAGAAATTCTTGTGGTTGTTTTGATATATTGTTTTTTTTTTTCACCACGAAAGCTTGTCACCACTGGAATCTGTCTTAACAGAATGAATTCAAGCTGCTTTTCTCTGTCTGCGAGGAAACTACAAACTTTTAACTGCAACCTTTGAAGCCTGCAGGGAGTCAGAGTCTGATACGTCATATTTGTGGCCTTGTCTCTGCTTTACCGACAAACACCAGCATGGTTTCTCTGATGTCGGGAATTACGCGTGTATATTTAAGTGAATTTTGGGTTATGAGGGCCATGGTGGAAGTGCGAAAAAGAGAGAAGAGCGTTAAGGCTTTTATTTGCTTCTGTGTCCAATCAGCAAGTTAGGGATGAAGCTTAATTTGAGAGCTTTGAAGGGTAAAAACAGCAAAGATTAAACTCCACTTTCATCTGCGCCTCATGTTTTAGCTAATTTACTGCAAATTGTTTACAATCAAGGACGGCTGCTACTGCTGCTGCTCTTTGCACAACATATTTGTACAAATGTCTTAAAGTACACTGCGCAGTGTGAGGTCACTGGATTGTGTGTTCACCAGAGCTCACACAGTCAGACTGCTGGGAAGGAGCTGTGTGTGTTCACAAGCCTGATGACCTGTGGATAAATGCTGTTTGTCTTGTGGTCCTAGACTTCACACTCCTGTAGCTTCTGTCTGATTTTCCTCCATGTGTATATTATCCCATGCTAAGATGCAGTGATCGGTTTGTGGACTCCATTAGTCCTTGTAGCTTTTGCCATTTAGCGGCCACATCCAGGCTAACCCAACTTTATTCATGGAGGATGTTGGCAGGCAAGACTCGGAACAAAAAAAATAAGTAATTCCACCTCATCTGCATGTTTTAATATCATTTTAAAATCTATTTTTGCATCGTTAGCTCCTGCAAAAACATCATGGAAATCAGTTTTCAGAAACGTAAACGTTGTTTACAAGAGATAATCTTTCACTTTGTCTTATGTTTTTTTGTCTTCATATACTTGGCAGTACTTGTAGTGGAGGTGGGATTCTGCTTTTCACAATCTGACAGCTGTCAAATTAAAACATTGATTTATTCATATGCTGTATAGAGAGAAAAACAATTAACTGTTACATGTGACGTGAGCATATTTATGTGAATCTATCAATATGTTCTTTCTTATACTAAGAGGGGGAAGTTCAGCAGAGGAAGAAATACCATGTCCAAGATGCTGAAGCTCCACAGCAGCAAGGGAGTAACACAGAAAACATTCTTCAGTGTAGAAGCAGACTCATTTGTCTTGGTTCAGCAGCTGGCTCCCATCGCTCCTGTGGGTCAGCGAGGGTTCGAGTGCTCTTCAGAAGTGTAAAGCCTCTAAATGTGACACACTACAACCCTGTACGTCAACACGGCACAGATGGACGGAGAGTCGTCCTGGGAGAGGGATCACAATCTGTGGCATGCACTCTTTGTGTCGCATATCTTTGAACAGAGGGTGGATGTCTTCTGAGATAATGTAAACTAAACTGCTCCCTCTGACTGAGATAGGCTCTCCCCTGAGCCCTAAGCATCTCTCTCTTCGTCTACCCTTCCTTTACTTTCATCCGCCCTTCTTTCCTCTCCTGTCTTCCACTTGTAATCTGACATCTTCATGCTTTTCTCTTTGTTCCTCAGCTTTATTATTACTTCCTAAACCTCCCAATATACTTCCGTCTTCTTTTTTCACCCGCCCAGATCCTGGTGCCCCCTCACCGGGCTCACCAGCTCCGTGTGAGCCTGTGGAATGTCCTCCAGAGTTTGGCCGGCATTATCCTCTACTCTCCTCCTGAAGGGTTTCCACATTCACGTGTTCCTCTGTATACATCTCCCACAGATCAGGACAGAGATAGCCATGCACGACAGAGGCTCAGGCACGTGGAAAGTAAGGTTGGAGGGACAAGGGGTGAGACAGAAATGAAGATGGAGAACCCTCTGCTCCAGCATGTCGGGTCACGTGACTCAATTTACTGGGAATTCGGTTTGACCTCCAAACACATGCCGAGCCATGCACATGCACAAAAACAAACACTGGAAGAGACGCACAAACAAATACCGAAAGCTATAAACGCAAATATCCATTCACTGAAGCAGACAAATGGAAAACTGGAAAAAAAATTGCTGATCGTGGGAAATAATTGAGAATCATTTCCTCTCTTTTGAAAGTGGAAAACCTTTTTTTTTTTTTTTTTACGAGACTTGACGAATAGCAGCGTGTGCATGCGCCCAAAAATAAAACTAAATCCACATTTGGTGCAAAGCCTTTTTACGGACACCTCTTTTTCTTTCTGTTTAGTTGCATGTGCTAAAAAAAGTTCCTGCTCTCGTCCAGAATACATATTTTTAACAACATCCGTGACACATGTTGTATGAGGAAACACAGGCCTCCAGCCGCAGCAGCAACACGGATCCAAACAGACATCTGAAACCAAGCAAACAGTCATGGTGAACATCGTGTACACAGATACACGATGTAGAAATATAAATCTGTGTGAAAGCCTGCAAATAGACAACGACAGGGATGTTTAGCAAGTCGACAGATTTTCACTTTGCCTCTGTGTAAAACTCCCCCTGTTTGTTTGGTCTCCAGCAAGGACATGACGGCAGAGATTGTTTAGAGAATAAACGATGTTCATTTTAACGACCTTGGATGGAAATAAAGAGCTGGTTTTGCTCCTGCTATGACAGAGTTGTCTCTTATTTGTCCAATCATTAGCCATTAGAAGGTTTTTTCTGGAAGACAAACGAGACAAATTGTTCTATCACTGTGAAACGCATCAATCTTTCATGGAACTGAAATTAGCTGTGAGGAGTGTGCGAGATGGAGAATGTCAGCGCAGGCAGTGTTGATCCTTTCACCATGGTGAGATTCACGGTGATGAGCCTCCCTCAGACGTATAAAATAAACACAACTATAACAGGCATTCCACTTAAAGAAAAGACACTGACCCGGGTCAGATCAGTGTTTGGGCATCGCTGCCATTCCACACGTGCTCCCTCTCCTGAGTCAGTGTCAGTCTGAGGGGTGTTTTCAACATGCATGCATGCCAGGCATATCATGTGTGTACAGATGCACACACGTGAACTGATAAGTATGTGTGTGTCTTAAGATGTTTGGGCTTGAACCCAGCGCAGTCTGAAAATAAACCGCAGGGTCAACAAACAAGACAGAGAGAGGGAGTCCTTCCATATGCTACTGGTGTGTGTGTGAGAGGGATTGTGGGGTAAAAAAAATGTGCTTCCCCTCTGTTTTCCTGTCTGCAGTGGGAACAGAACTCCCTGACATTTCAGTGAACTATCCAGCAGAACCCCTGTGTGTGTGTGTGTGAGTGTGTGTGTGTGAGTGTGTGTGTGTGTGTGTGTGTGTGTGTGTGTGTGTCTTTGTGCGTGTGTGTGCGTGTGTGTGTGTGTGTGTGCGTGTGTGTGTGTGTGCCCAGGACACGTCTTACACCCAGAGTTTGGTTTGGAGGAGCTCAGGCCCAGGAAGGAAGCTCGTCCTCGGGGGAGTCACCCTTGGGAGTCGAGGATCTGGAGGTCACAAGCTTGTTAAATTCAACACCCGCCAGCGGAGAACGTCCTGTGCGAGAAGGAATGAGCAGAATCTCAAAGCAAACAGTCGATCTGTTTAAACATTTGTTCCTCCGAGTTATCAATCACGCTCATTACAAAAGTAAGGTCGTCAGAGTTTAATGCAAAACAATAAATCACTGTAACAGCGACAAATAAATCAGGTTCTTTGAGCAAAGTGCTTATGTCAGCATGCTAACGTTAAATAAAGATGGACGACGTGTCCCCACTTCCTCCCACTATCGAAAAATGATGCCCAAATATTTCGGACGCGGTCCCACCGATAACACTCACAAGTAAGTCTCAGCTGCCAATCAGCACGTTTCACTCCACTTCTATACCATCAAATAAAAAATTTAACAAAACTTATTAAAAATGAGCGGGAGAAATGTAATGTTCAACACATAGTTCACCATATCTATTTAATTGGCATTCCTCCCAAAGTACAGCTATATTTGATGGAAATACCATTTTAAGACAATAATTGGATTTTTGGATGATGTGACGTGATTTGACTCAGTGAAAAATCTGGAGGCTCCTGAATTAAAGACAAGGTACGATAACTGTGAGTGTCAGAAAGTCACTGGATCAAATAAAACTTTTATCCTCTGGTGGAGCGAGAGCAAAAGTCAATGTACAACTCGTTACCATTCATCATCCAGGGACCTTGAATAGTAGTGAATATATTTTAGTCTGGACCAAAGTTTTAACCAACAGAGATTCTGCCTGCTTCTGAGTTTGTTTACATGACGCCACCTAGTGTTCATTTATATGTACCACACAAAAAAGCTGTTTTTTTTAAAGGAAAATCCCACAAATTGTACACAAAAACCACTTTACTAGTTGGAGTCAGAACTAATTAACATTTGAAACAGTCTTTTGTGGACAGCTGTATTATTAACCGAGAGTGAGGAGAAGAATAAAGCAAAACGATAATTGAAAATTCCTGAAAGGATCAAGCCGTTTTAGAGCTTGATCCATTCCGGAGAATAAAGATCAGGATATCTTGGCCTCTGCTGCTTAGATTTTATTTTTAAATCTCTGTCTTCATCTGTTGTAAATCCCCAAACTCCACTGAAATACACTATTGAAGTTGTGGAATACCTTGTCAAGGACATTAAGGAAAAGTTTTCAATAATGTAATTCTGTATTCCACTGCAGTAAAAAAAACTTGTATGAACCATAACTGTATTAGAATCAAGGATTATTCTTCATCCTCTGCCACCCTCAACCCCAGACATCAGTTTTAACCAATTTATTCTTTCTTTGTATTGCCTGATCATGATTCAGTATTTAAAGATGAAGCTTGAAATCTTTCCCCCGTCAAAATAAATCTGATTTGTTTGTGAAGAAATAAAATTTTCATCATCTTCAAAGGGAATCTTTAATATTAAAAAATACAGGGGTGGTGTTAGAAACATTCACTCACGAGCCAACATAGAAAATGGGTTTTGTGCAACTTTCTGTTTCATAAAAAACAACATCTTGACATTTATCTCATGTGTTTTTGGTTTAAAATTTAAAAAGACCTATAACCTGCTGCGGTGGATTTCACAAAAGCTGCAGATCTTTATCATTAAGGCCACTGCGAGGAGAGACCAGGTCACAGCAGACACATAGAGACGACACGTCTTTTCAACAATTTCTGTTTTCTTTAAAGTTAACTGTGTCGACTGGTATTTCTCGATTCACAGGTAAGGAGCAATGTACGTTTACATACCAGCCTGACTGAAAACTGAAGTTGTACTTGGATATTATCTTAAAAGAAAAGAAATTGGTGTTTTGCGATGACGGCAACAAACAGCGAGGTAACCAGAGACACAGCAGGAGGAGAACTGGGTCTGTGGTCATTCATTAATTCTTGTGATCAGAGAGGTTTGGAACTGAAGATGAAGAAGTCGTGTTCGTATGGTTTGGTCCCAAGCTGCTTTGTGTCTCACAGTGAGGTTTCCTTGGATTCGGGCACAACGGGTTTGAAAGTCAAGATCTCTGTGAAGGTGTGACCTGGAGACAGAAGCACAGCAGGGCGGTGATCAATAAAACATAAATGCTCTTATTGTCCTCCCCCACACCCTTCACTTATTATTCCACTGATCTTTCTGGCTGTGTTACCCCTTAATCAGTCCAACAAACCCTCCCTCTTCATCCTTACGTTTCCACTGGTCCAGCGGCAGGTCTGTGTGGTCTAACGAGTGGTCGTACGGCTGCGCGTCCGTCTCCTCCTCCGTTTCCCTGAACTCAGTGAAGTAGGGGAGCGTGAGGGCCTCGGCAGCGGTCGCCCTGCTCTGCGGGTCCAGCAGCAACATGTGCTCCAGCACAGACACGGCTGAGGGAGGTGGAACAGAATAAGGAAAGAGTGGCTACGAGGCTGTCAAACTGAACGCAGGCAGAATAATGAGGCTGAGCGTGTCCTACCTTGTGGATTAGTTGTGGAAAACACCTTCTGGAGGTCTTTCTTTTCCACTTTGGGAAGACTTTTGATGTAGCTTTTAGCCTGAGAAGAAATGAGAACATTTATTCTGGAATAAATCATTAGGTGCCAAATTGTGCCTCTAAATTATTGCGTGTTTTGCGTGTTCTGCACTCACATCCTCGGATTCTAGTTTTGAAATAAATTCCTGAGTTGGTGTTCCTGTGATTTTCATGATCTCAGTCAGCTGATCGAGGTCTGACGAACAGGGGTCAAGGGTCACAAGGGATTCAAATCCACAGAGGAGAATTTAATGGTAACTAAATCCCTCTAAATGTTTTCCTACATTCTCTATGACGCTCAACGACAGAGCGACAACTAGCCAACAGTCCACATCATAGATATTTGGCGATGCAGGCCCTGAGGCACATTATTGACCTGTACCCGTGTCCTAATAACTTTATGTGTGTGGGGAATGTGGATGTGCATGTAAACGGTCAGGAGGGTAAAAGGATACGGTCGCTGCCTTTAAAAAGAGGTTTTCCCTGCAGCATCTCGGCCATGATGCAGCCCACAGACCAAATGTCCACTGGAGAGAGACAGAAATCACAGTTATTGAACTTTACGCATTTCAGACTTCCAAGTATTATTATTATTATCATTGTAAAGAAGTGAATCCACGATGTAGTAAGCAAGTGATCAACAGAATAAGATGAGTGATTGTTCTGTAAAGTGTTGAAAGATTACCACCTAGTGGATAAGGCCTATCATTACAATTGGACTCAATTGAACTTAGATGTTTTTATGCATTTACTTCCACTTTCAAAACCCATCCCAGCATTGTTTGAAAACGTATTTCAATACAATACAATTATAATACAATTTATTGTTAAATTAATAATATTTATTTAATATAATTGGATGTATATTTATATATTAATCAGATGTATTTTCTGAAGTTTTTTATAATTAAGATACAATATTTTTGGAGCTTTTTTTAATCTGATATACAAACAAAGCTTCTTATTATTATTATTATCACTTTTTAGAGTCTCCATTCACAAACATAAAGACAAAAGAAATCTCCTCCACCATCACCCCAGCAGGAAACCTGAGCCTCTCAGCTCATTCAAACCTCCTCTCCAAACCCCAGAGGGACAAACAGAGAACCTGGGGAGACAGCGGCCTCTCTGTCTCTGCCCCCTCCCACTGTAACTATCGCCCCATGGGAATTAAATGCTCTACTTGGAAGGCACGGGGAGAGCTGCGCCTTAAAAAAACTGTCCTTTGTCTGACTGAAGCAGAACAGGGCTCGCACATGGAAACGGGTTCACACTCAAGTATGGATTTCAAAAGTCTGTATTTCACATATTGCAGCACCTTTTCCTTTACACCCCATCCACACACTGTCGGCACAGGGGCAGTATCTTTGAAATGCAGACTGGAAGAGCTGGAGATCTAACCACCGACCTTCTGGTTCGTGAATGACTCTCTCTACCCCCTAAGCCACAGGTGGCGGTGTGAATGGTTGTTTGTCTCTTTATATCGATCCTGTGATACGATGGAGACCCTTCCAGGTTATACCCCAAAGTCTGCTGGGATTGGTTGCAGCCCCCCCATGACCCTCAAAGGATAAGTGGAATCCATCCATTATCTATCAATAATTATTTATTAGTCATTATTCATAGAAGAGGAATAAATAACCTGCTAAAGTCTCAGTGGCATCAAAAGACCAGAAGCCACAACAACAACAAGACGTTTTGGGAAAAATTAATTCAGCAACAAGTTGGAGCCTGTCCTCCTGAGGTGTCAAAGGTCATTCTGGGAAATGTAGTAAATCACAGCTGAACCCGACGCCTCGAGTTAAAGGAATTTGTGGATCACAAAACATCAAATACAGACGACATCATAAAAACAACATTACCAGTCTGAGTGTAGTGCATCCAGCTCAGGATGACCTCCGGGGCTCTGTACCAGCGAGTCACCACGTAGCCAGTCATCTCGCTGTCTGCCTGCCGCGCCAAACCAAAGTCCAAAATCTGACGGAGCGTGAACAGAAACAGGGCAGAGTCAACGACATCTACACATCAAGGCGGTAGAAATGGTGATCGATTTCATTTTTTGATCAGAACATAAGTTAAGTTTTTAAAAACTAAGACAGCTTGTGTGTTGTGCTGGTTTGAGGCATCATTGTGTGCAGCTGTACCTTGAGCTCACAGTCTTGGTTGATGGCGAGATTTCCTGGTTTGAGGTCCTGCAATCATAACGAAAAAGAGCAGGTATGACTGTGACTCTGAGTGTGTGGCAAACAACAGCCAAAGGGGAAATTAAATCCAGTCATAAGAGTGCAGTGCAATAAAATTGGAGGGTAGACGCTCGCAGAAGAGACAACTCCCTCTTGAATTAGATAAGAATGTATGATTCTTAACCTCACACATATATTTTAAAGTACATTTATATCCACCGTAACAACTTACCCTGTGAATTATACCAGCTGAATGAATATACTGCAATAAAAGAATATAACAGGGATTTAATCAACAGAACCATTCAACTGAGGTAATAAACTGTAAATATGGTCAACGCAGAGTTCTCCACCTTCAGCCCTTTGAGCATCTGATAAACCAAATACTGAATTTTTTCCTCTGACAGTCTCTGCAGCTTCATCAGCTTCCCCAGATCTGTCCCCATGAACGGCATCACCAGGTAACTTAGAGAAGAAGGAGAACAAAAACATCACGTCTATGGAAACTTTACAACCGGCTGCTGCTTTTAAATGGTCCTGTAGTGTTTAGCAGGCGGATAATGGTTACTTACAAATCGTGGAATCTGTCCAGGGAGAGGTCAGCAGTGAACACATCTAACAGGCCAATCACCTGCAGCAGACAGAACGATACTGTAAATCACCCAGGAGGACGTGATCCTCTGTCCCGCCGGTCGTTATTGTATCACACATGTTTTCCACTGTACGAGTACAATGAAGACAGAACTGAACCACAGTGATTTAGATAAGCCATCGTGTTGGTTCTTACGTTCTCGTGCTTCATGTGTTTGAGAAGCCTCAGCTCCCTGTAGGCCCGTTTGGCGAAAAGCTCGGACTGGAACGGTCGGTACAGTTTCTTGATCGCCACTTTGGCTCCTGTTCTGGAGTCCACCGCCAAGCTGAAGGTAACATCAGAGGGTCTGAGGCAGTATTACATACTATATAT